ATCAAAACAGCCTGGTACTGGAATAAAAACAGGCACATAGACCAATGGAAGAGAACAGAGAGCCCAGAAATAAACCCAACCCTCTACAGTCAATATTCGACAAAGAGGGCAGTAACATAAAATGCATTAAAGATAGCCTCTTCAACAAATGGTGTTGGGAGAACTGGACAGCTACGTGGAAAAAAATGAAACTTGAACACCAACTTACATCATATACCAAAATAAATTCAAGATGGATAAAAGACTTAAATGTAAGCTGTGACCTCATTAAAGTCCTAGAGGAGAACACTGGCAAGAAAATCTTAGATATTTCACGCAGCAACTTTTTTACTGATATGTCCCCTAGAGCAAGGAATATAAATAAAAGAATAAAAAAATGGGATTTCATCAAAATAAAAAGCTTCTACATGGCTAAAGAAAACAGTATTAAATTAGCAAGACAACCAACTGTATGGGAAAATATATTTGCCAATGACACCTCAGACAAAGGTTTAATCTCCAAAATATACAAAGAACGTACACGACTCCACTCTAAGAAGACACCCAACCCGATTAAAAAATGGGAAAAGGACTTGAACAAACACTTCTCCAAGGAGGACATACAGAAAATCCAGAGACACATGAAGAGATGCTCGATATCGCTAGCAATCAGAAAGATGCAAATTAAAACCACAATAAGATACCACTTTACACCAGTCAGGATGGCTATCATAAACAAAGCAACAAACAGCAAATGTTGGAGAGGGTGTGGGGATAAGGGGACCTTAGTCCACTCTTGGTGGGATTGCAGACTGGTACAACCATTATGGAAAACAGTATGGAATTTTTCTCAGAAAAATAAAAATCGACCTGCCTTTTGACCCAGCAATTCCACTGCTGGGATTATATCCTAAGAATCCTAAAACATCAATATCAAAGAACCTATGCACCACAATGTTCATAGCAGCACAATTTACAATAGCCAAGAGTTGGAAGCAACCTAGGTGCCCATCAGTAAATGAATGGATCAAAAAATTGTGGTACATATACACAATGGAATTCTATGCAGCAGAGAGAAAGAAACTACCTTTTGCAACAACATGGATAGAACTGGAAAGCATTATGCTGAGTGAAATAGGCCAGGTGCTGAAAGACAAATACCTGTTGTTTAGCTCACCTTTAACAGGGAGCTAAACAACAAAACAAACAAGCAGAAAAAAAAAAAAAGAGAACGAGGGGACAGTGGCCAGAGGGGAGAGGGAAGGGAACTTAAGGGGAAAAAGGGGGAGGGATTTGGAGGAACAAATAGGAAGGACTCAGGGAGGAGAACTAAGGGGGGTGGAAATGGGAGGGAGGTGGGGAGCATGGGGCGGGGGAGGTGGGGAACACGGGGTGGGGAAGGCTGGGATGGAAGAAATAGACAAAAAAACTGTACTTGAAGATAAATTTGGATAAAAGTATCAAAACCAGGATATGGTATTTCTAGTGCCATAATATATCATGGCACTAGAAATTCATCAAAGGCATAAAACAATTAAATTGAGAAACATTTATTCTTGAAAAGCTAAAAGGCTAAATAAAGACATTGCCAGATAAGCAAAGACTGAAAGAATTCATTGCTAGCAGACCAGCATTACAAATACAAGCAGTCCTCCAGGCCAAAAGAAAATGACCCCAAATGGTAACTTTGATCCACAGGAATGAATAAAAAGAACCAAAAATGGTAAGTATGTGAGTAAATATGTTTTTTAAAAGTATTTTTTCCCTCTTCTCTTACTTTAAAAGGAAAGAAAGGTGGTTGAAAGCAATAATTAGCCCTGACCAGTGTGTCTCAGTTGGCTAAATAAATCTGTAAAGCGAAAGGCTGCCAAATCAACTCCCAGTCAAGACACATGCCTGGGCTGTGGGTTTAATCCTCAGTTGGGGCGCATGCAAGAGGCAACAACAATGTTTCTCTCCCTCCCTTCCCCTTTCTAAAAATAAATTATTGTTTTGTAAGAAAAGCAATAATTATATTGCTGTGTTGTATTTATGCACTATGTAGACAAAATGTACAATGAACAAAAGAGAGGAGGAAATGAAGAGACACTGTTTCAAAGTTGCTGTATTTACCAGAATTAGGTCAATATTAACATGAAGCAGAAATAAGTTAAAAATGTAAAGTGTCAAATAAAGCTATTCAAAGAGAAAAAAGCTTCTATTATAATTCTTAGAATCACTAATTAACTCAATAATATATCGCCAAAAATACACAGCCAAAAATACCCCCAAAGGAATTAAAATGATATTACAAGAAAGCATCTGCTTAACATCAAAAGAAAGCCATAAAAGAGAAACAGGAAAGACAAGAGACATAAAAAATGGTAAGATGGCAGACATAAATCAACCATATCAGTAACTACATTAAATGTAAATGGACAAAATACTCCTACCGAAAGGCAATGTCAGACTACATTTAAAAAGCAAGACCCAATCATATACTGCCTACAATAGACACTTCAGATTCCAAGATAACAAGCAGCTTCAAAGCAAAAGAATGGAGATTTCTGGCCAAGATGAAGGCATAGATAGACACATTGTGCCTCCTCACACAACCAAAATAAGAACAGCAACAATTTAGAAACAAAATAAGAACCAGAACTGACAGAAAAGTGAACTATATAGCAGTCCGACAACCAAGGAGGTAAAACAGACAAATCCATCTAGACCTGTAAGTGGGGTGGAGTCAGGTGGCTGAGCAGAGATGGGTCAAAGCACAAAAAGCTATGGTATCAGGTGCAAAAAGCACCGCTGGCACACAGGCGGTCCCACGTTCTCACACAGATAAACCAGGCAAAATTGGGGAGTGAGACAGACCCAGGTTTTTAGTGCCAGGAAATAAAGCCTGAAAACACCTGTGGGGGTTGATGCACAGGGAGAGAATCCCAGCCTCACGGGAAAGTTCGTTGGAGAGACCCACAGGGTCCTAGAACATATACAAGCCCACACACCTGGGAGCCAGCACCAGAAGGGCCCAATTTGCTTGGGGGAAGTGTCAGAGAGGACTGAGATCCAACAGAGAGTGGAGGAAATGCCATTGTTCCCTCTCTGACCCCTGCCCCATATACAGTGTCACAACCCAGCCACTGAGTTGCCCTACACTGGTGAACACCTAAGGCTCCGTCCCCCGTAAGTAACAGGCAGAGTGAGACAATAAAAAAAGGTCCAAACAAAAGAATAGATCAAAGCTCCAGAGTTAATATAACTAAGCGACCAAGAGATAGCCAACCTATCAGATGCACAGTTTAAAACACTGGTAATCAGGATGCTCACAGAACTGGTTGATTTTAGTCACAAATCAGATGAAAAAATGAAGGCTACACTAAGTGAAATGAAGGAAAATGCTCAGAGAACCAACAGTGATGAGAAGAAAACTGAGACTCAAATCAATAGAGTGGACCAGAAGAAAAAAAGAAACAACCAAACAGAAAAGAATGAAGAAATAAGAATTCAAAAACATGAGGAGAGGCTTAGGAACCTCCAGGACATCTTTAAACGTTCCAACATCCAAATTATAGGGGTACCAGAAGGGGAAGAGGAACAGCAACAAATGGAAAGGTTATTTGAACAAATAATGACGGAGAACTTCCCCAATCTGGCAAAGAAAACAGACTTCCAGGAAGTCCAAGAAGTTCAGAGTCCCACAGAAGGTGGACCTAAGAAAGAACATGCCAAGGCACATCATCATTACATTACCGAAGATTAAAATGAAGAAGAAAATCCTAGAAGCAGCAAGAGATAAGGGGACAGTCACCTACAAAGGACTTCCCATCTGACTTTCAGCTGATTTCTCAAAAGACATCTTACAGGCAAGAAGGGGCTGGAAAGAAGTATTCCAAGTCATGAAATCCAAAGACCTATATCCAAGATTGCTCTATCCAGCAAAGCTTTCATTTAGATTGAAAGGGCAGAAAGTGCTTCTCAGATAAGGTTAAGTTAAAGTAGTTCATCATCACCAAGCCTTTATCTTATGAAATGTTAAAGGGACTTATCTAAGAAAAAGAAGATAAAAAATATGAACAGTGGAAGGACAGCAAACTCACAGTTATTAACAACCACACCTAAAACAAAAGCAAACTAAGAGGACAGCTAGATCAGGAGCAGAACCATAGAAATGGAGATCACATGGAGGGTTAGCAACAGGGGAGTGGGAGGAAGAGAAGGGGGGAGAAGGTACAGAAAATAAGTAGCATAGATGGTACGTAGAAAATAGATGGGGGGAGGGCAACAATAGTATGGGAAATGTAGAAGCTAAAGAACTAATGACATATGGACATGAACTAAAGGGGGGAAATGTGGGTGGAAGAGGGTGTGCAGGGTGGAGGGGAATGAAGGGGGGAAATGGGACAGTTGTAGTAGCATAATCAATAAAATATATTTTAAAAAAAAGCAAAAGAATGGAAAAAGATGTATCATGCAAATAGTAACCTTAAGAGAACTGATTTACAAATACCTTTTATTGTAAATTCTGCATTATGTAACTTTTAAAGAACTCTGTATGACTTTTAATAAAAGGTAAAACATTTAATCTGCCAATTACAAAGAAAATGAAAAAGAAAGTGACAAGGACAAAAGTGAAGAGAAAAAGAAATAAATGGTCATCTTAATTCAGCTTTATACATAGAGGTCATCTCCTAAGTGACAGGACTTTATTTTATGAATTTTAATGCATTATTTGAAAACCTACCTGCTCAGGTTTTAAAGGAAACTAAATTAAATTACCTTCTAGATTTTCAAACAGAAAGAGCTAGGGTTAACGTTTTAAACTAGTTAAATTGGTTTTTAAATGCAAAGTTAAATAATTTTTTAAAGTACTCTGCATTGGTTTTAAAGACTGAAGATTATATTGTCCAAATCTTACATATTTAATATTTTAAATAAACATGGCCCCTTATGATTAATGAGAAAGGTAGTTTTCTACAATGCAAATACTAAATCAGCTTGGGTAAGTGGAAGTTTAAATATTACTATCTGCTCTGCACCTCTTCTTCTGGCAGCATTTTTCTCTGACCATCCTTTACAGGAAATCCACTTCCAAAGTCTTTTGAGGAGATATCAGCTCCATACTCTACAATAACATCTTCTTCAATGCTGCTCACCAGCCGCCAGAATTCCTTTTCTACTAGTTCTGTGGGAACCATCTATACAAGGAAAACAAAGGTTATAATTACTAATTCACTGTAACGAGAACCCACTATAACATTAATACACAGGACAAGTGAACACAAACCCATGATAAAATGAAAGACCTTCTCCCATCCCACAGTTGAAAAGACTGGGGTCCTAGCTTTTTCCACTGATAGGGAAAAGCTAAAAACAATTTAGATGTCCAGAAAAACATAATGAACTTGAACTGCCTTTTTTGTAAGCTGCTTCTCAAGATAAAGATGACCTAGGACATTAAGGAGAAAAAAAGAAACATGAAAATCAAGGCTTTATTTTAATAGCTTTGGCAAATTTTTTTGATAGGGATTTTAAAAAGCCCCTTGGAAAGTAAGTAAACTTCATTATTACAAATCACTGAACAAAAGCAGCAACTGCCATACACTTCATGCTTTTCTGAAAATGATTTCCCATGGGGGCTAATAAACAATTTAAAGACCAATGTGTATTTCTTAACAGGAAAGTACACAATGCCATATTAGAGACTGAAAGAAATAAATACAGATTCCAGGCCCCTAGTCTTTACATTTGGTGGTCTATCAACATTTTCATGCTGTCCCTGTTTTCTACAAAATGTTAGGTAGAAAGCAAACCAAAAGCTTTAGACTTCACACTTTCTCAGAGAGACTTAAATAAATACTCACATGGACTGGCATATTGAAATAATCAGACTTAAAATTATCAGCCATCTCTCCAAAGCTCTGAAGTGTATACTCTCGTACAGCCTGTTCAAATCCAAACGCTTCTCGAGGTTTATTACATTCCTGGGAAGAAAAAATATCTAAGATGAACTCACTGAAATAGAACTAAAGTATTACAGCTCTCAGGCACCACCTTCTTTGATCATTCCCTAATGAAGATAACTTATCAATCCTAGACAACAAGTATTAATTACTTGCAATATGGAATTAGGAAATAATGTTCTAGAACCTCAACTGCATTTTTCAGTCTTCCTGTAGGAAAATGGTAATAAGACACCTTTAAACTCTGAGGTTGGCATTCAGCTCTGATACCATGACAAACATCTACAGGACTACTCACTTGCAGTTAAGGCTACAGATGCCTATCATTTTCAGTATATTTGTGGATCTAGCTGTAAAGAATATAAATGTTCATGGAGAAAGAAGAGATCAATGGATAAAGGTATATCCACTGGATTGCTGGAATATCTAGCTAGAAGAATGGTTTTCCCACACTATCAGTTACCATGACAAATATCTTAACACAAATATTCACTTAGGGTAGATATGCTTCTGAATCATGGAGACTTGAGAATAGTAAGTATTCAATAACAATTCAAAGGCCTTAAAGACCTCTGAATACACCTAGATACACCCAGCCAGTTCCTTTCCTTCAATATCAATCACATTTTGTAAAAATAAGTAAGCAGACTAGGCATTTCATGACAATGACATCATTATAACTTTTCAATAAGAATAATTTATACAATCAAATAAAAATATTAACAGATATCATCAAGGTTTTTTTGGTAGCACAAAAATTGAATGCATAATTCCTAAAGAGTTTCATGCCTGATTTTTACATTCTTTTAAAAATAAAAATATTAACCTACAACCTATCTTCATTTTTATTGTTTTCCAGGCATATGAACATTCTGAGCAAAAGTCTCATTTATCTGCAACAATAAACAGAATTGTCGAACCATAGTCAAAAAAGGTAACTTTGAAAGGCAAGCTGTCAGAACACAATTTTTATAGTTCCATTTAGGATCTCTCTTGAAAAATCCTGGAGACTTTAGCCCTGGCTGATGTGGCTCAGTTGGTTAGAGCATTGTCCAATACCCAGAAGATTGCAGGTTTGATCCCTATACAGTTCCCTGTCTGGGTGCATACAGGAGGCAACTGATCAATGCTTCTCGTTCACATCAGTATTTCTCTCTTACCCTAAAAGCAATGAAAAAAATGTCTTCAGGTAAGGATAAAATACAATTTTTTTAACATCCTGGAGATTTTAAATACTGAAGAACAAAAAGTAGAAGAAGCTTTTGGGAATGTGTTTACAGTATGTATGTATGCATGTGTTATTATGCCTAATTTTAAAAGAATCTGTAAATTGTACCTCAGCAACACATTTTGGACACCTCCAATCTCCTTTTGGCACATCAGGTAATGGAGGAATTAAACAAAAGGTATGATAGCTATCATCACATCCATCACACAAAAGCAATTTATCTTCATTATTTCCCCGACCACAAAACATACAAACATAGAGATCAACCTGTTAAAAAACAAAATAAAATAAAATTCTCTTTTCTATAATAAGTAATATTAAATTTTCACCAGGAACCCCTTAATTGAAACAAAATAATGTATACTAAGAAGTAAAGACAATTTAAATCCTGAATATTTTAAATAAATGTACTTTTAAGTAGCTTCTCATAAAACTTTCTAAATTTTCTCAGCTACTATAGGCAAGTTAATAAGAGCACATTGAGTTATAAGAATAAAGAAAAATTCTTTAGGGTACTTGAAAGTTAATTTATAGATATAAGATATACCAAGTCATCTTCCCTATACACAATGCTCTGTTAGAGAATGAATACTGAGCACTATCTAACAGCTCAAGACTTTACAGATTCATATTCATTCTCTCACTTAGTTACTCAAGTATACAGTACAAAAAAGGTTAACATTATATAACCAAAGCTACAACTTTAGATTCACCATTAAGTCTTCTAACCAAATAAATTAACTAAATAGCATACCAAGATACTAGAGCAAGATAAAAAGTGAAAAACTAAATAAAAATAAATCCTTTCCCTCCTGAAAGATCTCAGAACACTTACAAAGTTAACAGAGAGAGTTCCTTTCCGTTGTCTCATTTGCATGTTAAATGCGTCTGACCTGTTGGTAACTTTTCGTCTTCGGGAGACCTCATCTTAAAATAAAAATAGTTACATAATAATAGTAAAAACTAAAGTTGAGAGCTTACTCTGGACCAGACACTATTCAAAATTCCTCAAATTAAAGACTCACAACACTATGAGATAGAAAACTATTATCCCCCCTTGAAGATAAAGAATCAGAAGTATTGAGAAGTTAGATAACTTGCCCAAAATCACACAGCCAGTTAATGGCAGATTTGAGATTCTAATCCAGGCAAATCAAGTTCCAGAGTTTAACTACTAATTCTCTACTGACTGTATGTAGTACTTATCAAGGACTAATTTGAGACTAGTTTTATGACATTGCCAGCCAATACAACAATAATTATAAGAATGGAAAAGATAAAGTGTTTAATTCTTAAAAGAGTAATAATAAAAACATGATAATGTATTTAGTTGAGTCCTATCACACTAAACGTTTTGAGGATGATGGCACAATATTATCTGATCCTCCAGAGTTCAGTCCATAGCCTGAATTACGAGTTAGTTACTGATACCATAAAATGCGATGATTTTTTATTATAGCATTTCATTAATTCTTTACATAGTGAAAACACACCTAACACAATCTTTGTTAAGTTTTAAAACTGACATGTACATACAGAGAAAAGTGGAACTTGATTCTGCATTAGTAATTTTATTCACACAAAAGTTTCAAGCATGCTAAGAGTACCAAGTTTTCCTAAAACAGTTACTTAAATGAAGTATAATAATATGTTATGGCAATTACAGAAAAATATCAAAATTATAGTTAGAATTTAGCTCTGGCTGGTGTGGCTCAGTGGGCTAAACACAGGCTGTGTGAACCAAAAGGTCACCAATTCAATTCCCAATGAGGGCACAAGCCTGGGTTGCAAGCCAGGTCCTCATTATGGGGCATGTGAGAGGCAACCACACATTGATGTTTCTCTCCCTCTCTCCTTCTCTTCCCCTCTCTTTAAAAATGAATAAATAAAATCTTTTAAAAAATTATAGTTAGAATTTAAGTCATAAACTCTCCCCACTAACTTTTGATACTAAAGGCCAAAGAATCCTCTTTGTCTTTGAATTTAAAAGTTACATGACTTAGATCACTGAGAAACTAATTTCACCATTCTCTCATAAACTAGCCTTCAGAAACTACTATGATTTCTGTGTCACATTAGACATGAAAAGGGAAAATTTCTCTCCCAAAATATTATAAAAATTCAAACTAATATGGATCCTTACACATTAAACTTATTATCTAACATAAAAAGAGGTGACTTGTCTAGGAACCATGTTGCAAGTTTACAAGTCTTTGCAAGATGCCAAGGCAGACCTCAATACAAATGTCATATGAACCTTGCTATGACCATATCGTTATACCTTATTTCTCTTCATGACCAAGTAACAGATTTTACCTTCTTTATCTTTGGCGCCCACTGCCAGGCCCACAACCTTAGGCCCAGCACCAAAAATTCGAAGTTTCTTCAGTTCTGTGTTTCTATTCACTTCTCCAGATTCTGACTAACCAAACAAAAACAAACTCACATTAGTCTAATTATTTTGATTTATACATTTACTTCTTAGTAAAGCAAAAAATTTTGATTAGGGTGGTAAACACACAATACAATATACAGATGATGTCTTACAGGAATTGTACTTATATAATTTTATTAACAAATGTCATCCCAATAAATTCAATTTAAAAATATAAAAGTTTAAAGGTCTTCTTCAATAGGAAGAAAAAATTATTTCTTCTCTGATCCACTTGCTGCATCATTGTTACAGTTGAGCACACATCATCAAAGGTATACAACACCCAGACTCCTTTCCACAAAAGAAAATCTTTCATTAATGCACAGTTGTTAATTAGGTTCTGTCCAGAGACAAAAACTACTGGTAATAATTAAATGATTAACTCAATAGAAAGTTCTATTTCCAGGAACTTTCCAGAAAATTCTACAGAGTTAAAAGAAGTTCTAACTTGCTAATGGACACCAATTCTGATTAGAGAGAATATATGCCCATCCCAACAGATGCATATGATTGTCCTAAGCTAGTTATGCCCATGCTATTCTCTTCATTGGTGATATCCTAGCTAGGGATTAGAATGTTATCTTGGTCTAGCCAGTGAGACATATGAAAGAGCTACTAGAAGCCTTGGAGAAAGATTTTCATCGTCTAATAAAAAGAGAAAGTTTCTCAAAGAGTTAGCCCTTTTGCCCCAACTTCCTTTTCTACTCCTAGGAGACTCAGTCTGGTGAAAGAACAGTGCCTGACTGTGCAGCAGACACACTGCAATTAGGAGGACATAGCTATGTCATTCATACACTGAAGAAAGCAAGGCAATAAAGATGTAAACAGCCTGGGCTGTTGATGACAATGTGCAGTTGCTGTTATCAATCCTAGAACTGCCTGTATCTCTGAGAATCTTATGTAAAAAACATGTCCTTATATGAAAACTGTGTTGTTAATGTTTAAGCAACTATCATTTGATATTCTAGTACTTGAAAATGATAGGTTCCTGACAGCCACTGTTATACTTTGAATTTAGATGAACCATATCTCTTAACAGAGACTAATAAGTAAAGAATCAAAATCTATTGTAGATGGCAGAAGAGTAACTGGAAGCTACACTAACCTCCTCCTATAACCAAACTGGAAATACAACTAAATTGTGGAGGAATCATACTGAATAACCAACTGATCAATAGCTGGAAAGAAGCCTTATAACCATGAATAGATAGAAGAAAACACTTCACCACACATGACTGGTAGGGAGTACAGAGAAGAGAGAGCTCTGGCTGGGCTCCCACGGGCAGCAACTAAAGACTCAGACAGATATTTTAGCAGCCCGGGGGTTCCCCTGAGAAGCGTGGGGTCTAAACCCCAAGCTGGGCTCCCCAGCTGACAGCACCAGAGCCAGAAAGCAACCCAGATGACACCCTGGTATGAAAAGCAGAGGGTTTCTGTCTGTCAGGAAGAGATGGGTGGAAACTCAGAACTTAAAACTCAGCCTCTTAAAGGGCCAACGAACAAAATTTCATTTCCAGACACTTAACCTGAGCTCCGGCAAAGAGAGAGCAGAGTGGACTAGAGATTGAGGACAGTCTGGGGTTGGTGGCTCTGGGGAGAGAACTGAAGTAACATATACAAGGTTCTCAGTGCCGAGTCATTTCCCATACTGCAGGGGCAATCTTTCTCAAGGAGAGAGCACTGCCCTCCAAGTGGCTTCAGCCTGAGGGAAGCAACCTCTCTGCCCATAGGAATTACTCTGCCCCACCCTGTGGTACTTAAATTTCTCAGTACAGCTTGAGGTTATACCACTGATTAGTTTAATAACTAAGGCAGAGCTCTGGAGCTCTATGAAGCTTCAGCTGACCCTCCACCAGGCCTACTACGGATGAAAGGTGGCCTTAGTGTGCAGCCAGCCCAGTTCTTTCTGCATACAAACAAGCCCAGCACAGACAGCCACATGCTGACAGCTCTAAACAGATTGACCAAGGCCAGTCACAAGCAGTGTCTGACAAAGGCTTACACCAGACTCTCTGCAGATCTACCTAATATACAGAAATAAACACAAAGAAGCAGCGAAAATGGGAAGAAAAAGAAACAGACCCCAAATGAAAGAACAAAAAAATACTCCCGAAGAGCTAGATGAAATGGAAGCAAGCAATTTATCAGATAGAGGTTAGAGTAATGATTATAAAAATACTCAACAGCATGAAAAAAGGCATAGGAACCATAAAAATGAACATGTCAGAATTAAAGAATGCAATATCTGAAGTAAATAATACACTGGGAGGAATAAACAGTAGGTTAGATGAAGCAGAGGATCAAATCAGTGATGTGAAAAACAAGGTAGAAAGCAGCAATCAGACAGGGTAGCAAAAAGAAAAAAAGAATTTTTAAAAAATGAGGAGAGCTTGAGAAACATTTTGAACATGAAGCATAATGACAACCACATCATGGAAATACCACAAGGAGAAGAGAGTGAGCAAGGAAACAAAAAAACCTATTTGAAGAATGGTTAAAAACTTCCCTAGTCTGGTGAAGAAAAAAGATACACAAGTGCAGGAAGCTCCAAGTCCCAAATAATTTGGACCCAAACAGGCATACACCAAGACACATAATAATTAAAATGAGAAGGCTGTAAGGACAAGGAGAAAATCCTAAAAGCTACTAGAGAAAAGCAGATAGTTACATACAAAGGAGCACCAATTAGGCTGTCATCTGCTTTCTCAACAGAAACATTGCAGGCCAGAAGGGAGTACATGAAATATTCAAGGTGATGAAAAGCAAAGACCTAGAGTAAAGGCTACTTTACCCAGCAAGGCTATCATTTAAAATTGAAGGAAAAATAAGGCACTTCCCAAGTAACAAAAAGCTAAAGGAGTTTGTTAACACCAAACCAGTACTGCAATAAATGTTAACAGGCTTGCTTTAAGAAAAAGAGCCGTGGGGGACTTCCGCCAAGATGGAGACGTAGGTGGAGGAACCACCTTGCCTCTGTGCACAACCAAATCTAAGAACAACTATTTTTAACAACAATCACAACCAAGCCACACGGAAAATCGACAATACGGAGTCCAAAGACAACTAAATGCTCAGCTAAACTGGTAAGAGAAGCGAAACCAGCAGCGGAGCAGGTTAGCAAGAAAAAATTCCCGGGTGGTGCGCAGTGCGCAAGCAGCCGAAGGCGCTGATAGGCGCTGATCGCGAGCTAGCTACGGGAGAGCACAGGGAAGAGGCGCAGCGGGCTGTCTGCGGGCGGGCGGTCGGTTGGTCGCGCATCTGCGTGTGGAGAAACCAGTGAGAAGGGAAGCCTGTGCAGGGCAGGAGGCTCGCACAATTCCGATCGGATAAACAAGCCCCAGGAGAGTGGTGTGACTGGGGCAAGTGGTGTGACTGGACGGGCTGGGCTAGCGGAGAGGACCGCCATTGCTCCCTCTCTGACCACGCCCCCACACACAGCCTCACAAACCAGCGACCTGGGTCGCCCAGTCCTGGTAAACAACTAAGGCTTCCCTCCACTTACTTAACAGCACGAATAGACCAAAAATGGCTCTAGGACAACTCAGAGCCCCAGAACCGATAGATCTAAGCGATGAAGAAATAGCCAGTCTTTCAGATGCACAGTTCAAAACACTGGTTATCAGGATCCTTACAGAACTGGTTGATTTTAGTCACAAATTAGAGAAACATATGGAAGCTAAACTAATTGAAATGAATGGTAATACAAAGGAAACCAATAGTAATGGAAAGGAGATTGGGACTCAAATCAAGGGAGTGGACCAGAAAGAAGAAAAAAATGATCAAACAGAAAAGAATGAAGAAATAAGAATTCAGAAAAATGAGCAGAAGCTTAGGAACCTCCAGGACATCTTTAAACGTTCCAACATCCGAATTATAGGGGTACCAGAAGGGGGAAAGGCACAGCCACCAGGGGAAAACTTATTTGAACAAATAATAAAGAAGAATTTCCCCAATCTGGCAAAGGAAATAGACTTCCAGGAAATCCAGGAAGCTCAGAGAGTCCCAAAGAAGTTGGACCCAAGAAGGAACACACCAAGGCACATCATCATTACATTAGCCAAGATTAAAATGAAGGAGAGAATCCTAGAAGCAGCAAGAGCTAAGGGGACAGTCACCTACAAAGGAGCTCCCACCAGACTGTCAGCTGATTTCTCAAAAGAGACCTTACAGGCAAGAAGGGGCTGGAAAGAGGTATTCCAAGTCATGAAAACCAAAGACCTGCAACCAAGATTGCTCTACCCAGCAAAGTTTTCATTTAGAATGGAAGGACAGATAAAGTGCTTCTCAGATAAGGTCAAATTCAAAGAGTTCATCATCACCAAGCCCTTATTATATGAAATGTTAAAGGGACTTACCTAAGAAAAAGAAGATAAAAAAGATGAACAGTGAAAGGACAGCAAACTCACAGTTAGTAACAACCACACCTAAAACAAAAGCAAACTAAGAGGACAGCTAGATCAGGAGCAGAACCATAGAAATGAAGATCTCATGGTGGGTTAGCAATAGGGGAGTGGGAGGAGGAGAAGGGGGGAGAAGGTACAGAAAATAAGTAGCATAGACAGTAGATAGAAAATAGATAGGGGGGAGGGTAAGAATAGTAGGGGAAATACAGAATCTAAAGAAGTTGAGACACGTGTTCATGAACTAAAGGGGGAAATGGTGGGGGAGGGGTATGCAGGGTGGAGGGGAATGGAGGGGGGGAATAGAGCAAATGTAATGGCATAATCAATTAAAATAAATAAATAAATAAAATAAAATAAAATAACATAAAAAGAAGAAGAGCCGTGGCTATTGTGGCTCCCTGGACTGAGTGCCAGCCTGTGAACCAAAGGGTCACTGGTTTGATTCCCAGTCGGGGCACATGCCTGGATTACAGGCCAGGTCCCCAGTAGGGGATGCATGAAAGGCAACCATACATTGATGTTTCTCTCCTGCTCCTTAAATGGTCCAACCACGAGACACAAGATTAGCTGAAATGGATAAGAGAA